GGGAGCGGGGCTGGTGGGGACCCTCCCGGGGCGGGCAGCGAGCCGTGCTGTAGCAGGGTGGGCTGATGAGGGCTGACCTGGGCATCCGAGCCTCCTTGCAGAGGGGTGACTGCGTGTTGCAGTGACTTTTCAAGTCATTTCACATTTACAAGTCGATGGCATTTCCAAGCTCCTGCAAACACTGCTGCTTTGGTCCTGACACGCGTGAGCTGGCTGTCCCCGGGAGCCCCGCTCCAGGCTGTGCCGGGCTTGAAGAGATGCAGCAGCTTTCGATGTGTGGGATCAGAGCCCCTTCAGTCTCCTTCCCCATCGCTGCCTGGAGGCTGCTGCCTGTGCCTGGGTTGCTCAGGGGTTGCTTGCGCTGCCTGTTGCTTGTATTTGTGCTTCCTCCTTTTTCTAGACAAGGCTTGTTTAACTTCAGACCAGCTGATCTGAGAAGGCAGCTGGGGCTGGCAAGTCCTTCTCACTCAAACAAGTATGTTAAGAAAGCTCCAGCTAAGCTTTCCCGTTTAATAGCCTTGCTTTGGAGCATGGTGAGTGTGGAGGTGAAAAGTTCATACAGGGCTGAGGAGCACTTTTGAAGGCTGTCGGTGGATAAAACCTAGTTTATTGGCAAATGTGAGCAGGAGTTTTGACTATTAATGGTACTCCGAAGGCATGGCTTCTGGAGCAGGATTCTCCTAGCTGCCTGCATCTGCCTGAGCTTCTGTTTTCTGTCTGCAGAATGGCATGGGACTGCTGGAGATGGCAGCAAGCCCTGTGGCCAACCTGTCTTGTGCTCCTCCCTGGCTGGAGGATCAAAAATCTGGGAGCGTAGGGAAGGGCTCATGGTTGGGGTTGTGTTTTGTATCATCCCTGCAGGAACCTCCTTATCCAGACCACAGCCATGGCCACATCGGCAAGCTCCCAACTCAGCAAAGCCATTAAGCACATGTACATGAAGCTGCCACAGGGGGAGAAGGTCCAAGCGATGTACATCTGGATTGATGGGACAGGGGAGCACCTCCGCTGCAAAACCCGCACTCTGGACCATGAGCCCAAGAGCCTTGAAGGTGAGAGGGCAAGTGCAGGATTCACAGCCCCTCGCTGCATGGAGAAAGCAGCTGTGCTTGGCTGCTCCAGAGAAGGGTTGTCATTTCTTTCTTTTCATGGTAGCAGAATGGTATTTGGGGAAGACACTGCTCCTCACCCCCATCCAGTTACCTCTTTCCCCAGATCCCCCAGGGCAATGTTGCCAGCTCTCCAGATGTGGCATTACAGTGAGATGCCTGGGGTTGGGAGCCAGCCCCTGGCACTGCCCTACTGCAGAGGGGCTGTTGGCAGGGACTCGGCAGCCCATTGACTCTCGAGTACTCGTTTTGGCCGGAAGTAGTTTGGCAGAAGAAAGTGGAGGGGAAAGAATGGAGCTATCCGGTGTAATTAAGAGCTTGTGTCCCTCAGAACAAACAGTCCCAGCTTACACAATAATAGCATTAGGATTTTCCCCAGGTTGCCATGGTGCTGGCAGGAGACAGTTATGAAATGAAAATACTGTGTGTGACTGAGCAGAATATTTTTTTTTTTTTTTTTCTTCACTCTCTCTCTTCCCTTTTGCTTCTGAGGGAGTGGTTGGCACAGCTCCTTTGAAATCTTTGTACTTCCCATCCTCCCACTTTCCCCCCAGGGTATGGAGGAGATAACATTGCCTAGTAGAGTTCACTGCTGCCCCTAATGTGCTTTGACCTGAAGGACAGTGCCCAGCCTGGAGAGGTGGTTAAGGAGGCCAAGCTGGCCATAGTTCTCCTCCATATGAGATTCCACCTATGTGTGATTTGTTGTCCCACCTTCTTCAGACCATGCAACATAGATAAGGGTTATTTCATGGTTCCTCTCCTTCATACAGCTTGAAGACGTCTCATGCTCTGCCTTTTTCCAGCTTGCGCAGCCACGTCTTTGAGGGGACTGGGTGTTCTGCTCATCCCCATGGTTATTGCGACATGGGAAACATCCTCAGTGCTACTTGGTTTGCTTGGTGTTGGCCAGCAGCCCAGCAAATCATGTTTTCCTGGGTGGCTGAGAAGTTGCACTCCCTTGTTTTTCGCTTGTTTTGGTGTTCTGTGTTTTTGTGAGTTGATTGTTGGTTTGTTTTGCTTCCCCCCTTTGGAACAAAAACAGCTGAGCTGGGATTAAACCTACTGCAGGCCTGTTCACTGTAAACATCTTCACCCTTGTACTACTGAAGGGCCGCAGGGAGACCATCCTCTTCGTGCCTGGGGACCCTGGGCCACTGTGTCTTGTTCCTCTCTTCGCTCCAGATCTCCCTGAGTGGAATTTTGATGGCTCCAGCACCTTCCAGGCTGAAGGCTCCAACAGTGACATGTACTTGCGACCTGCTGCTATGTTTCGGGACCCTTTTCGCAAGGATCCAAATAAACTAGTTCTCTGCGAGGTCTTCAAATACAACCGTCAGTCTGCAGGTGAATGGACCTTTTCCTGCTGGAGGTGGTGTTTCTGGGAAGGGGCTAAGTCATGTTAGTCATGTCCTTAGCATCATGCATGACACAAAAATAATCCCTGCCGTGAAGGTAAAAGACAAATGAAGTGCTGGTGATGGAGAAAGGGCTGGCCTTAGGATTCTTCACTAATGCTGCTGGGAGTCAAACTGTAAATAATGTGGAAATGGAGATTGGTGGTGAAGATGCTAATAAGACTTATGTTGCGTTTTCATTCTAGAGTCAAATCTCCGACACACCTGCAGGAGGATTATGGATATGGTGTCTAACCAGCACCCCTGGTTTGGGATGGAGCAAGAGTACACTCTTCTGGGGACAGATGGACATCCATTTGGCTGGCCTTCCAATGGCTTCCCTGGACCCCAAGGTAATCTTTTGGGAGTCTGTGCTGGACCAACTCAGGAGTGCTTGAACTGTAATCTGTGTGACATGGCTTAAGTGCTTCAGGCAAGCTGAAAGATTTGTAGGGGTTTCCTGAGCTGAAGATGGACAATAGCAAGCAGGATATTGGCAAAAACTAAACCGTGAGATCAAGATTGTTATGGAAAGGCTAAGATGGTGACTGGCCGCATCCAAATTTGCTGCTTGGTTTGATAGTCTGCAGGTGACTTAAACTCATGCCCAACGTGCCAGAGCACAAGCCCAGACTCTCAGTGGGACTGATACTCATCAGTGCTCTACTTTGTTAGTGCTTCTATGAAAAGCAGATATTGGGACTTTTCTACACATCCCAAGCATTTGGAGAGTTCTTCCCTCTGTTCTCAGTCTTCACTGAATTTAAGCCTCTTTCTTTCTAGAAACTCATGTTCCCCTTGCTGTTCACCTGTGCTGTTGCAGGTCCGTACTACTGTGGTGTAGGGGCAGATAAAGCCTATGGCAGAGACATTGTGGAGGCCCACTACCGAGCGTGCCTTTATGCTGGTGTGAAAATTGGAGGAACTAATGCAGAAGTGATGCCAGCCCAGGTAAATTGTTCCAGGTGCCTCACGGAATGAAACAGTAGAGAAAAATTCCAGGCAGCAGATGCTGCCTGCTCTGATTTGTTTCATTTTATCGATGATCAGGGCATAAGGGGGTGGGAAGTGCCTCACAGCAAGTGACTCTGCACCACTGAGCCTGTGGTTCCTCCTTCTTGTAGTGGGAGTTCCAGGTGGGACCATGCGAAGGGATTGAGATGGGGGATCACCTATGGATTGCACGCTTCATCCTCCATCGGGTGTGCGAAGACTTTGGTGTCGTCGTGTCCTTTGATCCCAAACCCATCCCTGGGAACTGGAACGGTGCTGGCTGTCATACCAACTTCAGCACCAAGAGTATGAGGGAAGATGGAGGTCTCAAGTGAGTGTATTGAGATGGGCCAGTAGCATCTGTTCACTAAGCAGCAGGCTGGACTTGGTTGCTAGCAGTGAGCTTTTTGCAGAGCTTTCGATGACATGGGAGATGTCACTTTGTCATGACGTTTGAGACTTCCTTCTGGATGTGTGTTTTTTTTTTGTGTGTGTGTATTTGGGTGGGTTTTTTTGGTGTGGGTATTTTTATTTTTTTTTTTTTTTTTTTTTTTTTATGATGATGATACGCTCCCATTTCAGTGCTGGATGGGAAATTCAGCCTGCAGTACAGCTCAATCAGTGATAGAAGCACAGGTGGCCAGGGTGCAGCTATTCGTAACAGGCTGCCCAGCTCTTGATCTGCCAGTGCTGGAACAAACAAATAAGCGTTTTGTTTTTTTTCCCCACCTCTTTTTAATAACCATAATGAAAGAAAAGGACCATTTGCGTCTGCCTGGGCCAGGCTGTGGAAGCAAATGCTATGTTTTCTTAAACATGAAGATCCTGAAAACGTAAAGCCTGAGTTCCTGTATGGGACTGATGTACTGACTGCAGGCAGGGACCTTATAGCACTGGGTTGCAGTAGAGCTCTATGAAGGGATTCCTTCTAGCAGTTGTTTTCCTGGCTTAATCTTAGTGATGTCGTGAGATAATGAGCTCACCTGTGACCAGGTTAGCTCATGTGAGCTTCCTGAATAGAAACTTACTTGTTGAGCAATCTCCTCTCTCAGAGCAGGTTCTTCAGTGGCAGTGTGCCTATGGGATTTAGCAAGGGGTTGAACTAGTCTTGTCTCACACTCAGCACTACTGAGGGACACTGTGGGATTTGGCTGTTCTTTTCCAAGAACCAGCCTGAGTCAGTGGTAGGAGTGGAGAGAAGCCCTGTGTTGAGATACGTGGGTTGTAAGGGCTTAAGGCTTCATCACAGAGTGGCTTGGGGACAGCAATGACTCTCTTGTTACTTCAACACAAGTCAAGTGGCTCAGTTGTACCATCCATCACTCACTGTGTCTTCCCCTCTTCCTTGCTTCCTTTGTAGGCACATTGAAGAGGCCATCGAGAAGCTGAGCAAGCGTCATCAGTACCACATCCGTGCCTATGACCCCAAAGGGGGGCTTGACAATGCCAGGCGCCTGACTGGTTTCCATGAGACATCCAACATCCATGAGTTCTCTGCTGGTGTGGCCAACCGTGGTGCCAGCATCCGCATCCCCAGGAATGTGGGCCAGGAGAAGAAGGGCTACTTTGAGGACCGCCGGCCCTCTGCCAACTGTGATCCTTATGCTGTGACAGAGGCCCTTGTCCGCACGTGTCTCCTGAACGAAACTGGAGATGAGCCGTTTGAGTACAAAAACTAAGCAGACTGCGCCCACAGGCACCAACTTCACCCTGCACTTCCCACACCCCTAAACTTCCCTTCTAGATGTAATCCCAAGGGTACAGGATAACACATTTTGTGTCTCAGTAACTCTTGTTGTCTTTAGGTAGGGAGGAGGGCAAATTCAGTTCTATCAGTTTCTGTTTGTGGTTGACTCTTCAGAAAACAAGAGAAGGAGAGAGTATTAGAGAACTTTTAACCACTGTTTTGTTTTATTGCCTAATTCATGTGTGCATCTTACGGGATCCAGTGGCTTCCAGGGACAGACTACACACAGACAAAAAGCTAGTAGATGGGTGGAAAGTTTAAAACTATTGCTGACTTCCCCAAGGATCGAATTTGGGTTGTTAGCCCCACTGCTGACTCTCTGCAGTCTAATGGTTCTCTAAGGTTGGTTCCATTCTGTAGAGAAGAGAAGACTGGAGCTGTGATGTAGCTCAATGTGCTTCTAGCTGTATTGTGTGATGGGGAGATCTTCACCTTCTAGTAGCTCTGAGATTTCTGTTAATTGTCTGTCACATTGAGCTCCACACAGGAGCGGTGAGGAGAGTTCCTGGTTCTATTACTGGAAGTTACCCGATGTCTGTCTCATAACACAGAGTGAAGTAGTATTTTTATATTTAAATATAAAAATGACAAAAAAAATTATATATGAAAGTGTTTCTTTTTTAAAAAAAAAAAAAAAAAAATAGATGGCCACCCAGTTGGAGCAGGCAGAGCTGCTGTGGATGCTGTCAGAGGGCCTCCAGGTGGGACTGAGGGTGAGCTTGGAGAGCTTGATGGAGGAGACTTGGATGAGATTTGTTTTGGTGTGGAGTGGAATTTGCAGGAGGTAGTTCCCAGACTCAGGAAGCCCATAACTAGAGCAGCTGCAGTGTGCTCATTAGCATGTAGATCAACAGGAGGAGTGTCCTGAACTAAGAGTTGACCAGACAACTTGACTGCATTCTGGTCAGAGCTGTGGGTGTTTTAACTTCCCAGCAGGGCTAGCATGTCACTAAAGCAGGGCTTTTGATAAGGTAAAAAACCCCATTTTAGATGCTTCCCCCCACCAAGGTTCTTAGTTTCTAAAGTTGAGTGGTTTTACAGAGACCATTGATGTCACTGTTGTGTCCTGGCTGCTTGGCTGCCTGCTGTCCAGCTGTGATGGGAGCTAGGAGAAGGGAGAGGCCACCTATCCCTCCTGGCCAGCCCTGGCACCTTCCAGCTTGTGCTGGTGGGTTCAAATGTTCTGAGATTTTACACTTGGGTATCTTAGATGGTGCCAGTTATATTCTGTTGTATTTGGACTTCTCAATAGTTGTTGGGTTTTGTTTTTGGTTTTTTTACAATAAAAAAAAGAACAAAATCTTAATTCTGACTTACGCATCATTCCTGTGATTTGTCCTTGCAGCTGCCTTTGTATGCTTGTTGCCTTCATCGTTTGAAGGGAATTTGACCCTGATAATGGGTAGGCTTTGGCTTTCATTTGCGGGGTGGGTTCTTTGGGCAGGGGTCTTGCAATCCATGTGTGCTCCCCAGAAAATGGGAGTTTGTAGGTGGTGGTTGATTTTCCAGCTGGGAGTGGGGTGGGCTTCTCTTGGTATGGGAAAGGGACTGGGCTTGTGCACATCCATAGGGAGAATTATGGGGCAAGTATAGGTATGTGTGCATCTTTCCAGCCTCCTCCATACAAATTCTACAGGTTTTAGAAATACCACAGAAAACAAAATCCCAGCAAACCACAAAAAAAGAGGCTTTGTGGAAGAGGACGCTTTCCTGCTCTCCCTGTGGAGAAAATGCTGCTCCATAAACAACATTGTGCTGCAAAAAGGCTTATCAGATAATCAATAAAAAATTTTTAAAAGTTATGAATTAGAAGGAAAAAAAATAATCTTTCTTCTAGATACAGTTTTCTGGTTTTTTGTTTTTTTTTTTTTTTTTTTTGCCTAAAGCCTCGTGTTGAGTCTGTTTTGCAAAACACCATTTCCCAACTATGCAGTGTGGAGAGATTCCCTCTTAAGGCTGTGGAACTCTTGCCAAATTAAGCCTGAAACCTTCAGAAGCTGAATTTGCTGCTTATGTATTTATAAAAAAAAAAAAAAATTACTTTTAATCTTAGTGTTTCATGAGGAAGAGAATCCCTTTTTTCTGTTTACTTGCACATCCTTGAAATGTGAACAATGGTACAGAAATGTTACTGAATACAAGAAAATGTAAGTATTGGCCCCAAAGGGTTTGCTAGGCACACTGGAGCATGAGGAACTGCTGTGAATGAAAGAGTCAAAAGTAGAACCAGCTTTTTGAAGTGCATGTTGGTTTTGTTCCCTTTCAACCAAACACCAGCTCGGGAGACAATGCTGCTCCAAGACGATTAATATATCTGCTCACACACCATGCTTTTCCCCATAACTGCATTTTAAGGCAGTCGAAATAAGATTAGCCACAGCTCCCATCAAATATAGCCTGTAGCAAATGAGCTAATCAAGATCTTACTTGCAGCATCTTTTAACACTGGGCTGTGCCAGCCAAATTACCATGAGGATGTGAGGGCTTTTCTCTTTCTAAAAAAGCCAGATAAATCAGGTGTGTGTGGTTGGGTTTCTTCTACCTTTACACATTCTCAGAGTGCCCTGATGCTGCTCCAGTATCCATATACTACTTCTCATTTACTTTTTTTTTTTTTCCCTTTTAAATATTTTTAGCACTATTTGATCTTTCTTGTAGATCAGCCTTTTCATCCTTATGCAGACTCTGGCTCTGACCACCTCTCTTCCTGAATGCAGCTTCTAGAGGAGAAATCAGCTAGTCTTAGATGGGAAAGGTTTTGCTGAGCTGCCTTTCAGATGCTGTTACCTGGGGGGGAGAAAGGCACTTCTTGTTGCTAGACAAAATTGTTTTTATTTCTCCAAGTCTCTGTTTTTCTCTTTTCCTGGGATGTTGATATTGGCCTGTGTGACTGTCCTGCATCTCTTTCTGCAGTGGAGGATGGGAAGGGATGGTCCCAGGAAGGGAGCCAGACACAGGCTGCTGAAGGGGTGATTCGTATGGCTCTGCAAGAGCCTCTGTGCTTGAACCTCATGTTATGAGAGTAGTCCTACTTTGCTGTCTTGAAATGCCTCCTGGATGTAGCTCCTCCAATACAGTGTTCTGAAAAATCTTGGCTGAGATCTACACTTGCTGTCCATTGGCACCAGTGAAGAGCCATAGAAGAGGAGCTGGAGGTCCTTTGGCCTTTTGAAGGAGGCCAGGGCATGATCTGTAAAGGTGCTGTAGCCCAGCCCACGGGGAACAGGTCAGGTGTGGTGGGTTGGTAGTTTCTTGTGTGACCCAGATGAGAAATGTGGTGGAGCAGGAGGGGAATCCTGCCATCATGGATGTCAGTAATTTGGTTTCAGCTGAGCTGGGATTTCATCCCGCTTGTACAGTTCCTGATTAAGCTGAGGACAGCTGCTTAGAAAACAAGTAGCAGCTCTTGAAAGGAAAGATATCCTTAGGTCTGACCCTGCATCCTCAGCTGGCTGGAGAAGTCAGACAGACTTGTGGGTAGGTCCTCCACACACGAGGGGTTCACCTGGCTCTGCTACTGGGACTGCCCATGTATGTGCAGTGTCTGGTTTCACTATGCTGGCTCTTGTGGCTTTTAAATTGACTCCTCCCTGACTCTCTTTCTTTGCTGATAAAGGGGCAAGTCCATCTGTAGGACTTGCAATATTGGAGACAAATAGCTTTTCCTGACGTCATGTAGATTATGAGGGACATCGGTAACTGAGTAATGACCCATCTGGAATCTTAAAGGTGTTCCTTGTTAATTACCTGGTTCATAAAGAAATGGTGATCTCAGTTTGTTCCTTATGACCCTGCTATGAGCTAGTGCTGGGTGTTTTGGGACTGTCCCCCTCTCTTGTGCAATGATCTTTGATGAGAACATAAAGAGAAGAGCTCTGAGCAGACCCAACCCTGATGCTCTCCACACTGAAGTGTTTCCAGGGTCTCCACCCGCAATGGGAGGTGATGCGGCTCAAAGCCTCTTCCAGCTGCTCCTGGAGGTGTCTGGCTTGTGACTGAAAGGAATGAGATCCGGGGCTGGGTGCTTCTTGCAGGTTAGCCTCAGAAACTTGCAGTGGCCTTGTATGAAGAGCATTCATGGGTTGACCTCAATGGGAACCTGCCTGGCTGGGGAGAAACCCAGGGTCAGCAGGGGAAATTAGAAGGAAAATCCATATTCTGTGACTCCAGAATGAGCACTAGGGCTGCAACTCTTCACAGTCTTGTAGGACTAGGCCCTTTGCCTCTCTTAAGCCTTCTCCCACAGTGCTCCTTTCCTCCTTTCCCTGGTGAAATGGTACAACACTGCTGCATGGGTACCAGTGCAGGGGGATAGCTAGGCTTTACCTCAGCCAAAATATTACTCTTTTTCCTCTCCATCCTGGTCTGCCCACAGGCTGGCACGGCTGGGCTATTTGCTTTCATAAGCTGCATTATGTAAGCCATGTCTTAAGTGGGAATGTGATGCCAACTTGGACTCTGCAGGGGGAAGGAGCTGCATTCCTCTGCTGCTGGGTTTAATCCCTGCCTCCAGCCACAGTTTGTTTGCTGGGAGGAGTAGGAGGGCTGTGCCAAGGTTTCTAATCCCTTGCCCCAGGTGGAGTCAGCTAGTTGCCACAGGAGCCCTGCTTTCCTTTGTGAACAGGTTATGTCCATGACTCCTCTTAGCAAGCCCTTTTCCTTGGCTGCTAGGAGGGTTGGCCCAGGCATGCACACCACACCTTGAGAGACCTTCCTCTCCTCCCCTTGTTTGTTGAACTCTCTGTGTTCTCTGGCTTAGACTGCATTTTCTCAGAAAGGCTATTGGGGGAGAAAAATGGAAGTGGAAACTTCAATAATTCTAGCTTGAAAAACAGTGGCAAAGGTGGATTGCCAGGCTGGCATGGAAAGCAGACAGGCTGCAGAACCTGCTGAAGACCAGATTTGTGCCAGCAGCTTCTCCATGTGTCCCACCACTGACTGCCCTCCAGGGTGCTGCATCTACAGGATGTGACCCTTGTCCACCCAGGATCTGGGGAAGCCCTGGAGATCCTGCACCCACAGGTCCCTGAGGCACCAGCCTG